CCATAGTTTCATTTTTGTAGTTTTTAACATATTACAAAGACGTGATGCATGTCTTCATGCTCAACTTATAGCAACGAAACCTTATTTTCAATCTTCTGTTCAGGAAATTCAGTCGTTAAGCAGTTCTGATATTGAAACAGCTCTGAAGAATATCTCCACTAGAACATATGATAAGCATTCTAGCAAAGGATTAGGCAAACTATTAAATCATATAAAAACAATCGGTGGTCGCGTTATGGGTTCAGCACATTCACGTACAGCTTTACGCACACATATCCATGCATTAATTTTCAACCAAGGACTACCAAGTATTTTCTTAACTATCAATCCAGCTGATATTCATAGTCCAGTCGCATTATATTTTGCCGGTGTCAAACTTGATCTCGACAATGTTCAAGCAGAACAACTTATGGATACATACAAACGTGCCGAAATCATAGCTTCTCATCCTGTTGCGACAGCTAAATTCTTTCATACGTTAATTTCCAATATCCTAGATACAATGATTATTGGCGGGGTACTTGGTCCTGTAAAAGCTTATTTTGGCACTGTTGAAAGCCAAGGCCGAGGTTCACTTCATTTACATCTATTGATCTGGCTCGACATCAATATAAAACCAACTGACATGAAGGAAAAGGTTCAAGATCCAAATTTTCGTGAGAGACTTATAGCATACTTGGAAGATATTATCAAAGAAGACCTAGATGATTTCAAAGACATAGAAACTCAAGCGGAATCCGGTAGCAATAGTTTTTTTCCTTTTATTCTCAGGATCGTTCTTCTTTATTTTTCAGTTCCATCATCATCACATACTTCACCACGGCTGACAACAGATAGTCTTTATGCAGCTTTGCGCACTATGGATATTACGAATCTTGAACAAAATAGAGATCATTCTAATCCTTCTACTGTTTGGTCAACACCAGTTAAAGGACAATTATCACCATCGATTCCATATGCGTCACCAGTCATGCTTGGTGGATCTCCATCAAATTCACATCGATCCTGGTCAATACCGTATGCATCTCCTCGTCGAAACGAACTATTACAAACACCAACGTCTGATCGGTCAATATTGGGTATGATTGTCTATTCATTTTCTCTTAAAACAATCAATATTCATGATTATTCTAGATATAAATGTTCCATCTAGTCAACTAAAACTATTCCCAGCCTGTTTACCTACACCAAATCCATCATCTCCGAATTTTAAAGCAAGATTTCGTGCTGATGTGGTACTATTAGTTGAAGTACAGAACACTCACTGCCACACAGATACCTGTTACAAATACTATGATGTTATGTCCAGCGGAAAAAGAATTTGTCGACTACGTTTGCCACGAAAATTAGTCCCGAAGTCAATGGTCGATCCTGAAACAGGTGATATACGTATGCGACGATCGCATCCGATGATTAATAATTTTAATGAATATATCATATCCGCATGTCGTTCCAACATGGACATCAAATTTATTTGGACAGGCAGCGATGCCAAAGCTCTGGTCTATTATATTACCGACTATGTAACAAAATCCAGTCTTTCTTTTCACGATACATTTTCTCTTATCCAAAAAAATGTCACATCATTAGGAGACATGTCAAACCAAACGGATGGTACAGAGAGTGCCACTGAAAGATCACGTAAATTTGTTTTACGTTGCTATAATACACTTGCGTCTCAACAAGAATTATCTGGAGTTCAAGTTGCTTCCTATCTTATGAACTGGAACGATCATTATACGACACACAAGTTTCAAGGACTTTATTTAATTCAAACTGAACTATATCTACAGTCAGAATTGAATGAATTACGTGTCAAACAAAACTTAGAAACAAATTTATATGGTAATATGATGCTTTTTTATCGTTCGTCTCTCATACAGTTGCGTTTTTGTTCAAATGAGAATTATTCCTTTTGTATGTTGAAACAGTAAGAGAGAGAGAGAGAGAGAGAGAAGAAGAGAGAGAAAAAAATAAATTAGGGGAGAGAATATGAGAGACAGACGAGAGAAGAAAAGTCAATTAAGACATGATAAGCTAACGGAAGAGGCGCTACACGCTGTGATCAACGAAAGAATGAAAGGAAGAGGAAAATCGATTGTTATATAAACAATCAATAAGTGTTACAGGAAGAAAAAAAGTATCATACGTTCATCATATAAGACGACATAACGAGATATCTAACATGATATCCAGCTGTGCTAAAAAGTTGTTGTTAAATCAAGTATATCACATAAATGAGTGGCAAAGACGAAATGAAATTATTCCAATATAATTCTTCTCTGATTATTATTGATAAACATCAAGCAATATGATTGTAAAAAACAAATAAACGAAAATATGTGTTTTTTTCCTTTTTTTTCACACATAGATGTAATTGATGATAATAATGACGATGATGACAATGTACACAACGATGAAAACGCACACGATATAAATAATAATGAAGAAAATTTTCAAATTCAATCTACCGAAAATGAAAATGGAAAGAGTTTTGTGCTAGTTAACGCCCGAATTGATTATCAGTGTAGATCACATACTCTCGACAATGTCTGTTTATATGATTTTGTTAGTGCATTTTATAAGAAAAAGATCAATGCANTTTTAGGCTCCCATGCTTGTATTTAGAAATGAAATACGAACGCAATTGAACCACAGATCAGCAATTCATAATGCAGTAGAAGTCGGTACCAATCTAATGCCATGTGTCGCTCAGGATTTTTGTAAAGGCAAGGCTGTGGAGGAGCCGGCACTTGTGAAAAAATTATTAGAACTATCTGATAGTAAGACTGAACATTTACCAAGTTTGTTACCGTTAGTTCCTGGAATGCCAGTTATTATTACACAAAATATTGCTATAGAACAGGGATTAATTAATGGTATGCATGGAATCCTTAGACAACTGGTTTATGATCTTGATTCAGTGTCAACAGATAGTCTTTCAAAAACTTTTCCTGTAAACACCCAATATGTCCATAAACCAAGATATGCATTGGTCCAAATCAGTAAATCAAAAGTTGAATGTAATCTTAAAAATCTGCAACCAAAACTTATCCCAATACCGATAATGGAACAAACATTCCAAGTTGACATTTCTGATATTCTTACGAAGATAAATGCGAAAACTTCGGACTTTATCCGAAAGTTGTGTGTGCTTCAAAAAGTGTATCAGATGGCACACAAAAATCTGAGAGTTTTTTTGTAAGTTAGAAGTATTACAGTTGATCGGGCTCATCATCGAACTCGTCTGCGACATTGACAATATACTGCTATGTACTAAATTTCATGGAAATTGGATTATTCTTTCAGGAGTTATCGGATTAACGGCCGGCCGGCCGGACGGGCCTACTGACCTATTCTATAGTATACTCACTTTTTGAGTACACAAAAATCAGCATGCAAAGTTTGACAACATTATCTGCCATAGGATCACTTGGATGATAACTCACCGACGCCAACCTTATCCATCTCCTTGCGGGCTCCCTAACGATCCATCTACCCTTCCACATGCCCACAAAAGTAGTACGGAGGGTTTGGCGTACAGTCTTGACACGAAATGGCGTGGGTGATATTTCACCCTCATCCTCACTAGTATGCGAACAGTAGCTTGCCGCTTTCTAGACATATGGAGGCAGCCTGCAAAGTTTCGCGGCCTTTTCAGTTATGGAACCACTTTGGTGAGATTCCACCCACGCCATCCTTACCCACCCTCATTACTGGTTCACTAAGTCTCTTTCGATGTTTCCCTACATTCACAGAAGCTCTATGAAAGATTTCATGACTTTTTCTGATGCAAAATCGCTTAGGTGAAATTCCACCCAGGTCACCCAGGCCTACCCCTTCACTGGCCAATCAGCATTTTTCTGGATCCAAAGAAACAGTACAGAAGGTTTCGTGGTCATAGCTGATACAAAAAGTGAGTGCAAAGCGAACAAGCGGATAAACACGCAAATCTTCAAGTTTTTCATATAGGACTTAGAGAAAACTTTACCAAAAGTCAGCAAGAGTACAGCCGATCAGGCTCATCTTCGAACTCGACCGAGGCATTTACAAGATAATGCTATGTATCAAATTTCATGCAAATTGGATTATTCTTTCAGGAGNTATAATGTAGAGGCGCCACCTACAAGAAAATGAATTTCTACTGGTTGAAATGATTTATTTATTTTTGATATTTCAAAGTTAATTTTGAGTTAAATTAGAAAAATAAATGAATTTTTGAAATTATTTAATAAAACTTTCTTTTATTAGTTTTCATAAAAGAAAATTCTTCTGTTGTTTTTTATAGGAAAAAGAAAAATAATTATCTTTTAAAAGAAATTTTACGTTTGAAATTTCTTATTAAATTAATTTTGTTTTCAATTCTTGAAAAGTTTTTCTTTGAACAAAAAGAAGAAGAAGAATTGAATTTATTGATTTTGTGATTTATTTATTTAATTAAAATTTTGACCAGAGGCCGGTGGTATGCGGTATCAGATAGCAATACCACACTCCCGCATTGCTTTAAAAAGGTTACTGGAAATGATTTTAAAAGATATATATTATAATTTTTTTAGATATCGTAAATATTGACAAAGACTAAACAAAACTAAACATGAGTCGTTCTCTTGTTCAAAATGAGTTGAAATTAAACGAATCGCAGAAGATTAGATTAACATGTGCGGATCATCATCATGGATATAGATATATCTTTGAATTAATTTACAAATATTTATTCAATTTATGAATACATCTTATTTATAATTCAATAATTGATAGATAAAAGTGAATATGTTGTATAAAAATCTAAGAAATTTCAGAATTTTAAAATGAGTGGTCAACTAAGTATGTGCCTGATCACCAAAATCTCACTCGATAGATAAATCATAAACTCAAGAAAAATTCGAAGCAAACAGTGAGTAACTTCACAGAACTCTCACCCTTGTATATTACTAAGTGAAATAGTTTTGTTTCTACAATTCCACGTTTATTGATAAATCATTAATGACAGCTGATGAAAGTGCGTCTAATCAGTCAAAATCGGATAAACTTTCTACTTCATATCTGATTGACTTTGTTCCTATTCAATTATCGAAGTTGATTTCAAATACAACATTTCGATACTTGTCAAATTATCAATTTTGACTCGATTTAAAAATCTTAATTTTGATTATAAACGCGGAAAATTTTTAAAACTACTTTTAAATTAAATCTTTTGAAAGAATAAATTCTGACTGTCAATAGTTATCTCTTGATACTCATTTGTTTTTCTCTATAAACGATACCATAGCATCTGTTCGAACAAACAAATTAATCATATTACTATTAACAAAATCTAACGCAATCATGATCATCTCAACTACAACCAAAAAGATATAGAATAAAACACAAAGATGCTTCAGAATATTAATATCAAGCCAAATCATCCACAAACACTATAAACCTACAGTTTTAATTCACTCCCTAATACTTCAGTAAATATAGATGAAATAACACACTTTTCTAATCTTCATCCCAATCTCGATTAATTGGAGATTTAGAAGGTTTGAAATTAACTTTGGAAGATCTTTTTTGATCTTTTCAAATTAATTTTGAATCTTTTGAATATCAGCATGCAGATTCTATACCGCCTGATGATTCATCATTTAATCGTGATGAAAATCGATTTGTGGTAATTAATTGTTCAAACTCATCCCTCACCCTCAAGAATAGGAACTATAGATTGACTTTTAAATGTCATTGTTTTATTGTCATCGAACAAGAAACAAAATACGTAAAATACGTCATCAAATATTTATTCAAATAAAAAAATCTTATTATTTTTTCTTCCTTTTATATACTCTATCAGTCGTGTTAGTATCACAACATATCATATAAAGAGTGTTAGTGATGACAGATTGGAGTAAAATATTGATCATCTACACCCACATTCTCACTTTATTGAAGATATTATTCTTTAGAAAATAATAAAATGAACGAATAAGAATAAAATTGTTATCTTCGTGTGAAAAGATCTTAAGCCTGAATTTTGTGGATGTAATCCAGCATTATAATCTATAGTGATAAAATTGTTCAATGGAATAATATTACTCTGATATGTATTTAATGTTCTATCAGGCCAACGTACTTCAAGACTAAACTTTTGATTAAAATCACCAAGACCAAAATGTAAAAGACGAGTATCAGCAGAACTATACGTTCCCCGACTTGATTTTTGTTCACGCATCATTATCCAATTCGTAAATCGTAATGTAACACGAGTACCAATAGCATCTCGATTAACATGAATACCATCACCGATTAATTTAATTGCTATCCAAGTTTTATTTTCTCCAATAATATTTTCAAAAAGAAAATTAGCTCGTCCACCACCTTGATCACGTCCACCAACAAGTAAATCAAGATCACCATCTCGATCAATATCACTCCATGCAAAATTCTGTCCACCTTTCATTCGAGCAACTCTTTCAGTCGATTGTAGATTATTAATTCCACTAATCTGTCCTAAATTTTGAAAAGTTCCATCAATATTTTGATGCATAAGACCAAACCATGATTGTTGATCAAAATTTGTATATCTTGATTCATATTTGGTATCACGTGTTACAGCAAGATCAAGACGACCATCATTATCAAAATCAGCAATAGCAGCATCAATATCACCTTCATTAAAAGGTAAATTACGTTTTAAAAATTCATTAATAAAAATATGATCACCATTATCTGAAATATGATTAATCAATAATTGACTTGGGTCTGACCATTTGCGATTATAATCAGATTCAACTGGATGTGAAATTGTTGTTAAAAAAATATCATTCAAACCATCACCATTTATATCTTCACAATCAATTCCAAAGCCATTTGAACCAACATAATTACTCATATTTTTACCCGGTTCAACTAAACTTCCATTATTCGTTGATGATAACCAATAATTACCTGTCGCTTGAGCTGATATACCACGAATACTCGCAACATTTTTAAACTTACCAGTTCCATCATTTTCCCATAAAATATTATGACCAAGAGCAATACTAACTCCATAAGTTGAAACAAATATATCAACATCACCATCATTATCATAATCACATACAACAATACCATTTGTTGGTTGTTTTGGATTTATATCAAGTAAACTTGTATTTGTTACTTCTCCAAATGTTCCATTACCTTTACCGAAAAATAATTGATCTGAAACACCACGAAGTGATCCGCCATTACCAATATACAAATCAAGAAAAGTATCGTTATTAAAATCAGCAAAACTAGCACTTGCAGCAAGAGAATTACCAGGAATTCCTTCGATACCAGAATTTTCTAAAAGAGTGAAATGCCCATAACCATCATTTAAATAGATTTGATTCGTTAAATCTTTTGTTGGATAATCAAGACCAGCGAATAGATCTTGATCTCCATCATTATCAATATCAGCAAATACAAAGAAAGCTGCTTGAACGTGACGTAAACCTGATTGATTACTAAAATCAGTAAATGTTCCATTTCGATTATTAATAAATATTAAATGTTCAAGAGAAATATTCTTTTGTAAATTTGGATATAAACTATGCATAACTATATCATCCCAATCGTCACCATTCAAATCACAAAAAGCAAGTCGACTATGATCATTTATTGGAATTGGATTAATTGGATTTATTACATAATTATCATGAGTAATACCACTTTTTATTGAAATATCGATAAATGATGGATTTTTATTAAGATCAATACAATCAATCCACATAATTATTGTCAAAAGAAAATAACAGATTAACATTCTCAATTGATTCATCTAAAATAGAAAATCAAATTAGATTTGTGCTGTTATATATATACCGTTTCTTCTTGCTTCACTTTGTATGTTTAAAAAAAAAAACGTTGGTTATTAAGCAAATATTATCATCTCGTCTTATCGAAAGAAAAAAAATATATGGCAAGATCTTTTATCGTTCTTCATTACAATCTTTTTGAAAAGCATTTGTTTTATTACATATCAGAATTATTTCTCATAGGATGAAGGTAATTTCGTCTCTCGAAGACGAATGTGATTGTGATTGGTTATCTCCTCTTTATACACGCATCATGGAATAAGAAATGTTATAATTTTCATTGTGAGACGGACAGTCTCATTACTTTGATAGGAATTTGTTAAAATCTCATCCCTTTTTGGATAAAGAAGTTATGAAATATCGAAATAATCAGAGAATTAATTGAAAGTATTCATCCTTTTATATATCAGCAATTACAAATGCTGTTCATCGAAAACTTTGTATGTAGATAGGTCTCGATGAATATATGTTAACTACAGAACCAGCACTTATATGAGAAAGAAAAACTATTAATTATATTGTTGATTATTTATAATTTATATAATCGTTAGAAATGTACTGATGAAACGTAATATTTTTAATCTTAATATCCGTAAAATGTACATCTCAAACTAACTCGAAAGACTTTCATCCAGAGAATATTCGGTAGACATTTGCTGGTTCTGTTTCGAACATATGACCATTAAATATATATATCGAATGATGTAGTCTTATTTAATGTAAGTAAAGTTATAGCCACATATT